TAAAGTTATGTCTAGCCATAATGGAACTCTGGAATTTTGTATGAAGGATGGCTTGGGTGATACAATTAGGGTTTCACTTACTGAAGCACCGGAGGAAGAGATAGATCCTTGCCGAAGATTGGCCAACCTTGGTATGAGAGCAGCTGAACTTCAGCAAGGAGTGGTAGGATTTTACAATATCCTGTTAGTTGATTAATATTCTTGATCACTCTGTTTAAGGAATTGAAAGTCTAATCATCTTTCGTGATGGCATTATTTGTATCAGGCTCCATTTGAAGAGAAGCACCGACATTATTTTGATTTTCAGCGTCGATCTGGTCAACTGCCAATGCAAAAGGAGGTCAGCCCAGATCTTGATATTGAATAACTTTGTACTTCATATTTTTTTTTCTTTAGCAGAGATAATGATGTCGTCAAAACACAGGGTGAAGAGGTGGATTATAGAGGTGTCCTGCACCGTGATGGATCTGTTCTCATGTCAGTATCCCTTGATCAGTTGAAGGTACTGTTGAAATCGTACATCCTTTATTCCATTTTCTTGCATTTTTTTCCTCCTTGAGAGCGAGGGGGGTTTGTTGGGTGGAGATAGTACACTGACCTTTTTGCATTTTTTATAGACACCGGAGCTCCTGTACAAGTCACTAGCAGCAAAACTCATTCTGGGAATGCCATTTAAGGTCTACTTTTAATCCATTTTAAACTGTATATTGTACATTATGTAGGTTTACTGGGATTTTCATTAATATGGTTAGTTCTGTTGATACAGGATCTTGCAACAGTTGACTCGATCTTATTGAGACAACTTCCACCTGTTGACGATGCTGATTCTGTAAGAACCGTGCTGCACTTTTCTTCATTACTTTTGAAAATAATCCTGTTCTCTTTCTCTTGCTCCCCCCATCATCCCCCAACAATTCACTTATTTCGTAATATGCTGTTTGAGCATTAAGTTCTTTGCAAGAACAAGAATAATTTGACAGTTTTCTATGTATAATTTATGATCAGCGGCTAGCTCTCAAAAGGTTGATAGATGTAAGTATGGGTGTTATCACACCATTGTCAGAACAGCTAACAAAGCCATTGCCCAATGCCATGGTTCTGGTAAATTCAAAGGAGTTATCAACTGGTGCATACAAGCTTTTGCCAGAAGGTGAAGCTTTGTTACTGATTTGAGTTCTGATGTTAAATTGAACATATCCCTTCTTTTATGTGTGCGTGTTGGAGGCTACCCCTGATTTATCATTTATAGTCTATTTCTTTTTTTGACTTAATTACCTTGCAGGTACACGCTTGGTGGTCTCACTACGTGGTGATGAACCCTATGAAGTGCTGGATATTCTCAAAGGCATTGATGCTACAATGATTCTCCATGATCTGCCCTTCGGTGAAGATAAAATAAGCCGAGTGCATGCTGCAAGGAGGTAATGACTTCATAACTCATATAAATCACCATCAAAATAAAATCAACATTATAAGAATTCCAATGTAGAAGGGTGCTTTCCTAGGCCCTACACACAAATATGAAATTTGTTTCTCCTTTCTTGTAGGGCCGTTAATTGCTAATTGAGAGTCCATGGTTTAACTTCCTGTATTGTTGCACACATCTTTCCTTCTGATAATATGAAGTCTGTTGCTGCAGGCTATTCGAGTATCTGGGAGACAATGCTCTAAACTTTCCCGTAATACACCATATTCAGTTTCCAAGTGGAATCCATAGGTAATTACATGATCGACTCTTCTCTCTGCCGGAGATCCATGGTATTAGTACTATCTTGCTTAATTGCACTTTGTGCAGGGATGACTTGGTTATTGGTGCTGGTACCAATGCGGGGGCCCTTTTAGTAGATGGACTTGGAGATGGTCTCCTATTGGAAGCCCCAGACAAGGACTTTGATTTCCTTAGAAACACATCCTTCAATTTACTACAAGGATGTAGAATGCGGAATACAAAGACGGTAGGGAATTTTGTTACAAAATATACCTGAATTTGACATATCACGAAGTGATGATGGTCTAAAACAATCTTTGTACATGCCTATATCTCATTTCAGGAGTACGTTTCATGCCCATCCTGCGGCCGAACTTTGTTTGATCTTCAAGAAATAAGTGCACAAATACGAGAGAAGACATCACACTTGCCTGGTGTTTCGGTAACTACATTATTATTTCCCTTTTAACTAAATGATCGTGAATGGTGATTGTCTTTCATATTTAGTAATCCGATGGTTTGTGTAATTCATTCTCTATCTCCTTTGCTAGATTGCAATCATGGGTTGCATTGTAAATGGACCCGGGGAGATGGCTGATGCAGACTTTGGCTATGTTGGCGGTGCTCCTGGAAAGATTGACCTCTATGTTGGGAAGGTAGTTCCTCTGTCCAGCTCGAAATTTATTATCGGTTTACTTAGAAGAACATAAAATTAAGTAGTAGAAAAGCAGCTCTTGAAGTTTATTTGAATTGATCGTGATATTATATGTTCCAAAATACCTTGTTTACAAGTCATTGTAACGATATGTTTCCAACCTTCAAACACGGGTGAACCTGATATGAGGTTGAATTGTGTTTCAGACCGTGGTGAAGCGTGGAATTGAGATGGAGCATGCAACCGATGCCTTGATCCAGCTAATAAAGGATCACGGCCGCTGGGTTGACCCTCCTGCTGAAGAGTAAAAGCCGGTAATCTCTAATCGCCGGAGATTGAAATTAGAGGGTATTCAAGAGAGAGAGAGAGAGAGAGAGAGAGAGAGAGAGAGAATTGTCCCCCATTATGTTGTACTGGCAAGTAGCCACAGTTGAAAACAGTGATGACTTGAGCGCAAAGAAAATGTATTGCCGTACATGTATGCAAGAATTTGTACCGATTCATAGCGCACCGCGTAAAACGTTCATCATGGAGTATACAAAACAACAATGTAGCCATTTTACCAAATTAAAACCTTAGGTTTAGCCGCTTCTGTGGTTACGAAACTTCCCTTGCTCAGCACACAGCGTCATGTCATTGACAACTCCAACAAGTAATAGTTTGCGTACACAATGTCCTTTCGTTTCAAAGGAACAACACTTGGTTGGAACTTTGTTGGGCGATGTTGCTGTATGTTCCATTCCATTCGAGTTAAAGTGAGCCATGTTCAAATTGCATTTGACTTGACTCCCATTAGCAACCAATCACCCCCACAAAAACACGCACAAAAAGGTGGATGTAATGTCATCATTTCTCATGCCACAACGCTTCACTGTGTCCCACGAATGAGGATCCTCGCCGGATTCTTTTTATGAGAATCTCAGAAATTCTCAAATTATATCCGTTCATCGTACATCGTGCGGTTAAAAATTATTGTAATTTTTTTTATTTAAAATTGAATATAAACAATACCTGACGAAATATGATCCATGATTTACAATGAATGAATATGATTAAAGGATCCCCGAAATCCTCACAAAGATGATCCGAGCACAAGAAAAATATTGGAACACTGAATCGAATAGCACTTCTGTACAAATCATATTGTGGAAATAGCACTAATAGTCTAACATTTGGCACGAGTTGGCGACGTTTACAGAGCCAAAAAGTCGATAATGCTCCGCACTTAAATACCAAATTTATCACCGACATTGACACAATATTGATTGACATAAAATTGACACCATTACAAAAGGGAAAAGTCAAATAAATTGCAATTTGTGCCAAGTCAGTGGCATTCCATTCCCACTTGTAACTGGTAAGGACTGCATGCGTGGAGAGAGAAATGCTAAGGAAATATTCTCTCAATTTTTCATAAACTTTATATCGTTTCACAGTTTAACGTTAATTTTTATGTTAATATTATAAAATATTATGTAAAAAATATGAGATTGCAAAATATTCATGAAGAATCACTTTTGAGAATCTCCTTAGTCCATCTCCAACAAAAATGTTAAATTATAACAACCAAATTACAATTGATAACTGATATGACAATTTGAAGTCTTATTTAAGATTTTATACTTCTCCAATCGAATTTTTAAATTTTATTTTCTTATTAATATAGAGCTTTAAAAGTTTGTATTTATTAAAAAAAAATGTTGAAACAAAATTTTCATTGTAGTGGTTGAAATGTTAGTGGAATAAGAGGTCTAGCACTAAAATTAATTAAAAAATATTGATGTCAAATTTAACACATAAGTCTTCAAATCTTAGTGGAATAAGAGGTCTAGCACTAAAATTAATCACAACGTCTTCAAATCTTATCAACAGATAACACTTTGGTTAAAATAATTTTTTATGTCAAATATGCATGGCAGCATTTCCATCTAAAATTTAACATCTCATTTGGAGATACTTTTAGCATTTCTTACGCGAGGAATTTGGTCGATGCATTTTTGCTCGCCCACATGAATTATTAAATTTTCTTAAAATTTAATAATTAAATTGATCAAAGAACAAATACAAACAATATTCCAAGCATATATTAACGACAAACCGATCAAATATTAAAAATGATCATTTTAATCGATTTCCCTATTTATTTCGACGGGAAGGCTCTTTTGTGCACAGGAGAGGTTGTACTTTAAAGATGCCGAAGCAAAAGTAAAAGCCATCAAAGCATAAAATGGAGAGAAGGAGAAAAAAAGGAGGGAAAAGTTGTAGTTGGGCAAGTTTTCACTTTCAAACAATTTCTTTTTTTTTTTTTTTTGGCAGAGTTGACATTTTTGTTTCCAGCAAACAGAGCAATCCCCAAATGTTACCCGCAATCTATTGTTTGTGAACTCTCTATGTTAATTTAAAAGGAATATTTAAATAACTAGTAACAAATTGCCACTCAATTATTTATAAATTGTATTTTATCAATTATTTATAAATTGTATTCAATTAATTTACCATATTTAACGAGATAAACCGAATCAAATTATCACATTATATATCTAAATCGCAATTAAAATGGCAGATACTTATCAGATTTATTGTTTCTTCAATTTTCTCAGTAATTTAAAACTTGATATTATAAACAGAAAAAAAAAGAGCAAAAGGATTAACTCTAAATCTGTAAATTCAATTATTATATCAAGTATCTTAGGCCCAAAATTAAAAAGAAAATAATAAAAAAAAAAATCTACCTATCACCACTCCACCACCACCGGCGCACCAAAGAATCAAGAATCGAATCACCATTTTTTTCACCGTCGCAAAACCCCAATTCAATCACATACCAAACCCAGAATTTAACAAAACAAACTACGAGAAATTAATACCAGAAAATTGAAGATTTCACAGTAACCTCTAGAAGTAGAAGAGCTTTGCGTATGAGAAGACTACTGAGTGTTTCTTCAGAGAAACTCTCTCCTGGCGGCGTCACCGTACTGAGATCGACGGATGTTATCCTGACGCTTCTTGTACACAAATCCTCCGAGCCCTACCAAACCGACTCCGACGATGACTCCAGACGCGATCCCCGCCTTCTTTCCCCCGCTCATTCCTCCCCCGGAGGAGTTCTCAGCTCCGTTGTCGTCGGCGTTCATGTCATTGTTGTTGTTGTCGCTAGGATCCGACGGCGCCGGAGCGGGAACAGAAGGCTCGTTGTCAGGCGACGGCGATGGAGTCGATTGCGGCGGCGCGGGAGGAGAAGAAGAAATTGGTGAGTGTGCCGGTGTGTTGGACGGAGATGGAGTGAGGGAAATCAGCGATGGAGATACGTGAGAAAGCGAATCGGCAGCGGGTTGCGGCGACGGAGTCGGGGAGGGCACTGGCGGAGAAGAAGAGGATGCGGCGGTGCTGAATTGGACTAGGAGAAATGCGAGAAGCAGAGGCGAGAGGAGTTCGAAGAACCTCGCCATTGTTGAAGGAGGAGAAAGAGGAGGCGGCGGCGCTTCGAGGTGTTTGTTTCCCGAGAAAATGTGGATCTGATGGGAAAGTGAGAAGAGAGGACGTTGAGATTTTGGGAAGCGGTTTTGAAATGGAGCGGAGGAGATCTGAATTTGAAAGGAGGAACCTCGGGAAATGGAAAAGGAGACGGCCGAGATTCAAGGGGAAGCGAAGAGGCGGATTCAGATCTGGACACGTAGGTGGAGTTAAAAATCGGGGAGAGGAGCGATGCACTGGATCTAGAAAAAATGTGGAGCAAATAGTGTGGAAAGCGTAGAGAATATAAAGGAAAAGGAAATTGGAATTTCAAGTTTTGGGTTTGGGGTTTATGTAATATTTTTATTTTGTTTTGGCGTTATTTATATAGAGAGTAAAAGATGGTGGTTCAATTTTTAACCCAGGAAATTTTAAATTTTAGTCCTGAAATATTTTTTTTTTATTTTTTTTGTCAAGCGATAGATTTTGTTAGATTAGTTAACGACGGAGTTTGAACCCACACTAGTAAAGGGCCACTTGCCAAAAACAGTTTTTTCTGCTCTAACCTAAATTTTTAGTCCGAAATTATAAAAGAATGAATTTAGAATAATTTTTTTTAAAGTAACTTTTTAAAAAATGTAGCATATCCTAATTTAATTTTATTAACATTTAACTTAAAAATATTTAGATTCCGATAAATATTGAAAAATCATTAAATCGACACTACGAAACATGTGGAACATTATGAAAGAATATGAAACACATGAAAGCATTTTTTTTAAATTAGTTTGGCCGGCGGATTTAAATTTGAATTGTTAGATTTTTTTTGTTACCATTGGATTTGATTATATTAGATTTTAGTTGTTAGATTTAATTAATTTATAAATATAAAACAAACAAAAAATACTCATATATGATAGGCCAACCCACAAAACCAAGGGAAAATTTTGGCTTAAATTTGGCCAAAAAACGAGTTTTTGGTTAAAATTCATATTTGACATAAAAATTAAAGCAAGTTGAGGTAGGTTTACCTAGAATATGAGTTTTCCCCGGTTGACCTTTGAAAGTTTCAGAAGTTATTGTTGTTCATGACTATTCAAAGGTTGATTACAAGAGATTGACCAATCAGAAGTGTTTTTTTGGTCAACTGACCAATCACAAGTTCATTACAAATTGGGATGCATGTATTTTACAAGAGTGTCTCAAAAGCCTTTCATTCTTCATTGAGCTATTAGCAAACTTGGCAACCAAGAGAAAAATGGCTGCCGCTTTGATTGGACATGCTTTTATCTCCGCTTCCATCCAGGTGCTGTGTGAGCACATTGCTTCAACCGACTTCGGTGACTTGTTCCGGCAGAAGAAGCTGGATGAACCACTCCTCATGAAACTAAAGATGACGCTGCTCACCCTTTGTGCAGTCCTCAATGATGCGGAAGAGAAGCAAATTTCAAACCCTGTTGTGAGAGAATGGCTTGACGAGCTCAAGTATGCTGTCTTTGATGCGGAGGACTTACTGGATGAGATCGAAACTGAAGCTTTGCGATGCAAGGTGGAAGGTGAAGGTCAAACCGAGAAATTAACCAAAAAGGTGTGGAACTTCTTCTCTACTTCTTGTAGTCATTTTTATCAAAGCATGAATGTTGAGATACAAAGGTTATTACAAAGGCTGGATGACTTTGTGCAACAGAAAGTTGCCCTTGGTCTGACGGAAGTTGTTGGGAGGACGGTTTCACAAAGAACTCCAACAACTTCCTTGATTCATGAACCTTTTGTATATGGAAGAGACAAAGATAAAGAAAATTTATCGAAAGTCTTGTTCTCTGATGATGCAAGCGAGGATAATGTATCTATCATCACCATTGTTGGTATGGGTGGGGTTGGCAAGACGATCCTTGCTCGAGTCCTTTACAATGATGATAAGGTGAAAGAGCACTTTACCCTAAAATCTTAGGCTTGTGTTTCAGAAGATTATGATGCTATTAGGGTGACTAAAACTCTTCTCAAGTCAGTCACTTCAACACCTTGTAATATGACAGATTTGAATTTGCTTCAAGTTGAACTTAGAGAACAATTGAGGGGAAAGAAATTCTTATTTGTGTTGGATGACCTTTGGAATGAGAAATATTTTGATTGGAAGTGCCTGCAAACTCCTTTTACTTCTGGGGCAAGAGGAAGTAAAGTCACCATGACAACACAAAGCGAAAATGTCGCATCTCTCATGAAAAATGTTCCCATTCAATACGTGGAACCTTTGTCGCATGAAGATTGTTGGATGTTCCTTGCAAAACATGCATTTTGAAATGAAAACCATGATGCACATCCAACTTTGGAAGAACTTGGCAAGAAAATTGCATGCAAGTGCAATGGTATGCCTTTAGCAGCAGAAACACTTGGGGGTTTATTACGTTACCAGAAAGATTTCGAGGAATGGAATATATTATTAAATAGTAGTCTTTGAGAGCTACCTTATGAAAAAAGTGATATCCTTCCAGCCCTGCGATTGAGCTATCATTATCTCCCTTCTCAGTTGAAACGATGCTTTGTTTATTGTTCATTTTTTCCAAAAGGTTATCAGTTCAAGAAGGAAGATTTGGTTCTACTCTGGATGGCGGAAGGTCTAATTCCACAAGGTTTGAATGGGAAAAGAATGGAAGAGATGGCTAGAAAGTACTTCGATGAACTAGTATCATGATCACTACTACAAAAATTAGGAGAGCATGGTTTCACAATGCATGATCTTCTTAACGACTTGGGTCAGTTCATGTCTAGGGGATTTTTTTCTCAAGCTGGAAGAGATGGAATCACAAGAAGTTAAAAGACTTCGTCATTTGTCATATGCTATGGGAGAAATTGATACTGCTAAAAAAATTGAGCCATTAAATGGGGCTAAGTGTCTGCGGACCTTCCTACAGACCTCTTTTGAAACAGATCCTGGTCTAAAGAGTTCTACATAAGTAAAAAGTTTCTACATGATATGTTGCCATCACTGAAATGTTTATGGATTTTATTTATAAAAATGTCAATGAATTACCTGGTTCTATTGGTAATCTCATTCACTTGCGCTTTCTGGATCTCTCTCATGTAAACATTATAAGTGTGTGTGTATATATATATATATATATGTTTGTGCTTATTAAGTCATTTAAAGATCGAACACAACAATGCAATTGAACCATGTACTGCAATGCATGCATGCAGTATTATTAACCCTAGTTTCTGCATAATGCATTCTGTCGATAGACAATGAATGCATGAAACTTACTTGAGGATGTAGCCATGGTGATAGAGACGTGGTTAAGATCTTCCTTTCTCTTGGAAACGAATTGGAACTCCTTGCTGTCGATAGGACAAGCATTAGCATTAAGAGAACCATATATATATATATATATATATATATATATATATATCCGAGAAGGGGAATCGAAACCCAGTTATAAGGATGTAACTGCCCCTCCTATCATGGTTGCAGTTACTTTCAGTTTTCCAATTCCTTATAACCGTTCTCTATATTAATTTGAACAATACTTATAGTTTTCTCACCTTATATTATACATTGATCAACATGTATAAACTTCTTTATATTATATCTCCTTATAGTAATGTTATTTCATGTCTTCATTAGGTGTTTGATTCACTTCTCACATACAAGTTCTAACATCTCATACTGCAATTGAAAGCTTACCTGGTGTAGTTTGCACTCTCTACAATTTGCAGACGCTACTATTGTCAAATTGTTACGCTCTCATTGAACTGCCGGTAGACATGAGAAAATTGATAAATTTACGGACATTAACGTTGGCAGATTGTTGCTCCCTTGCTAAATTACCCGTAGACATGAGGGAACTTACTAGTTTGCATTACCTCGATGTCAATGGAACAAAGATAGAAGGGATGCCAGTGGAAATTGGAAGACTAAAAAGTTTGAGAACATTAACTGCTTTCGTTGTGGGGAAATCTACCGGGTAAAGTATTGCAGAACTAAAGGAGTTGCAGCAACTCCAAGGAAAACTTTCAATTTTGAATCTGCAAAATGTAGTTGATGTTGTGCATGCCTTGGAAGCCAATTTGAAGGATAAGAAAGAACTCAAGGACTTAGAGTTGGCATGGGGTGATGAGGACGTCAGTGATTCCCAAAAGGAGAGAGATGTGCTTGACAAGCTCCAACCTTGCATAAATTTGGAGAAACTGACTATCAGATTCTATGGAGGAACTAGCTTCCCAAACTGGTTAGGAAGCTCTAATTCGTTCTCTAACATACAGTTCATGTGTATCAGTGATTGTAGGTATTGTTTGTCCTTGCCAAGTTTTGGGCAGCTACCCACTCTTAAAGAGCTATGTATGATTTTGCTGCAGTACAGTGCTTGCCCAAAATGCAATATCTTGAACGCTTGACTCTCAGCAATTGCCCAACCGTGTCGTCATTAGAGTTCCTATCACATGAGATGATGGCCGAATTGATGTCACTTGAGTATTTGGATATAGAAAAGAGTTTCGTTCAGTGAGGTCGTTCCCGTTGGGCGTTTTCCCCAAACTTTCAACTCTTGTAATCAATGGCTGTGAGAATCTGGAATCCTTTTCTGTTGAAGGAGTTGATCAAAACCTAAGCCATCTCAACCACCTGCGAATCTACGACTGTCCAAATCTGGCGTCTTTTCCCGACGGAGGACTGCCCACTCCCAACTTGAGACACTTGCAAGTCAATGGATGCAAGAATTTGAAGTCATTCCCCGAACGAATTCGCACCCTCACCGCCCTTGGAACGTTGGGCCTACACAATCTTCCAAATCTTGTGTCATTTGCCTATGGGGGTTTGCCTCCCAACCTGCAGTATTTGTATGTTAGAAATTGCGACAGAGTGAGGCCTTCAGTGGAGTGGGGATTGCAAGGACTTGTCTCGCTTACAGAAGTTAGCATTGGTGGCGAGATCTGGGCAATGTTGCTCAAGGAACAGCTGCTCCCTACTACTCTTAACTCTGTCCGCATCGCTGGACTATCAAGTCTGAAATCGTTGGACGGAGAAGGACTTCGGCACCTCACTTATCTTCAAAAGCTATCTATTTATGGGTGCCCAAGTCTGGAGTTCCTTCCAGCAGAGGGACTTCAACACCTCACTTCTCTTCAACAGGTATCCATTTCTGAGTGTCCAAATCTTCAGTTCCTTCCAGAAGACGGTTTGCCACCATCTCTTTCTTTCCTGGAGATCTACTCTTGTTCCACCCTAGAGAAGAGGTACCAGAACAGGACCGGACGACGTTGGGCCAAGATATCTCACATTCCTTGCATACAGATAAATGACGAAGTCGTCGTATGAGCTCTCTCATACAAACTTGTGCTTTTCGGCATTTCACTCTCTGGTATTTTGCATCTAATTAACTTCAATTAGTTTTAAAAATAAAAGACATGATAGATATAAGAAGAGTAAATTGTACAAATGGTCTCTCAACTTTAATCAAATTGGAGCAATGGTCCCTCAACTAAAAATCCATTACCATTGGTCCCTCAACTTATCAAAATGTGTAGCTATAGTCCTTTTCATCAATTTTGTCAAAATTTTGTCAAAATAAGCTATGTTGGAATGACCATTTTTATAATTAGGGTCTCTCAACTCATCAAAGTGTATAATTATGGTTATTTTCGTCAACTATGTCAAAAAATTTGTCAAAACGAGTTATATTGTAAGGACCATTGCTACAATTGGATTAAAGTTAAAGGACTATTTCTCCACTTGAATTAAAGTTCAGGGACCAATGGTAATAGATTTTTAGTTGAGGGACCATAGCTGCACGTTTTGATAAGTTGAGGGACCAAAGGTAATGGATTTTTAGTTGAGGGACCATTGCTCCAATTGAGTTAAAGTTAAGGGACCATAACTACAATTTACTCGATATAAGAATCATAGCATATTGATCAAATGTTTCGTTGCAGCATGGAAGACACACTATCCCTACATCTTCAACATTTTCGGATGGTATGGAGAGGATCAATCCAGCATGGTAAGCATCATAAGTGCAACATTTATAGGTACTCTTTCGTAACCGAATAATGTATTAACGTTTCAGAAATTACAAATTTTGCAATTTGTTTCTCATCTCTCCCATTTTCTTTGTTAAATCTTGTTTGCTCTGAATTATTCTCTAGCCTTATCCCTGGCGTCACTTATACAACATATATTGCTTTGGCAACTGACATTTTCTGACCAAGAATTTTTGGAATATGTTTTATTCCTGGACTTAAGGGAAAAATGATGCTGTTATATCTTAATGTCTCTGCATCCGTACTCCGGTTTCGGATTCATTCATTTCTTATTGAAAGCATGTATTGAAAGCATGCATGTTTCTTATATCAAAAATGATAAAAACCATCCGTACTGCTTATTTTGGTCTGTAGAAACCTACTTTCGACATAGGAGGCACAAACTTGCATCTACAGTTTCCTCCTCCATTGGCATGCATGCTGTCTCTTTTTCGTTATTCAGATTCCAGCTTGACGCTTGCGTAGATACGTTAAGCTCTTGTGGTTCCGATCACAAGATCGTAGCTGACAAATGGAAAGATGTGTGCAATTAAATCTTTCTAGGTGTGTTTTCCGATGATTCTTTTCGTTTCCGATGATCCTTAATCTTTTGAGTATCTAGCATCATCAAAATAGCAGTCATCATCTCTCTCAACCATAGATGCCCGTGTTGAACAACAATCAGACCAACGGAGTCCTGCTCTTGGCTCTCATTTTTTTAGATCTATATGGACCAAATGCATATTAACCACATGATTATATTACTTCCAACGATTTGCTTTTTCATTTTTTCTTTCCAAATATCAAAGATTAAAACTTGGTTTGTAAGGACAAAAAAAAAAAAAAAAAATGGAGATCCCGCTTGATAAAGGATCCATTTATGTATATATATGTATACAATATGTTAAATATACATATTTTTTGAGGTAAAATATGATTTTTAATTCCGAACCTAACGGATGATTCCTTTTTTGGATATACTAAATATGGAATTTCACTATGTCTTGAATCAGTCTATTGATTAGAAAATATAAAACTGATATGTAAATACATTAACATATTAATGTCAGAAACTTGAAATACATGCTCTTGAATCCTCACAAACACAGTCCTACAACAAGTCTTTGATTTGTGAGCAACGATTGCTCTCAACTTGCTGACTTAAAATGCTGAAGACGATGATGGGAACGATTGCTGTTTCTTCTTCTTCCTTCAAGGTTGGTTATGGCGGCAGCGGCAGCAGCAGCAGCAGGAGGCTTGTGAGAGGTATGCTGCCTCGTCTTCTTCAATCTTCTTCTGTTGTTTTCTTCAACGGTTACTTGGCTTTGTTTCACTCTCGAGCTTCTAAATCGACCGAATCAAGAAGCACCCAACAACACCAGCTTGTGAAAATCACTAATCTCGAGGATGCTCTCGACGTGTTTGACGAAATGCTTCAAAGGCGTCCTCTGCCTTCCGTTGTCCTTTTCACCCAAGTGTTGGGTCAACTTGCCAAGTTGAAGCATTACTCGACAGTCATCTCCTTGAATAACAGAATGGTTGCGTCCGGAATTCGTCCTAATGTTTATACACTAAACATTATCATTAATTGCTTTGGTCGTTTGGGGAAAATGGGGTTTGGCTTGTCTATCTTGGGAAACTTCTTCAAATGGGGTTTTGAACCAAATGTCGCGACCTTCAACACTCTAATCAACGGCTTTATTCTCCAGAATACAGTGGCGGAGGCAGCAACACTTTTCAATAAAATGTTGGACGGTGGTAATTGTAAGCCGAACGTGGTTACTCTCGGTACCCTAGTAAAGGGCCTTTGCGCGGAAGGTAACGACACTGCAGCAATCCAATTGCTTAAGAAGATGGAAGAAGGGGTTTGCAAGCCTAACATAGTTATTTATAGCACGATTATCGACAGTCTTTGCAAAGATACTCTAGTTGTGGATGCATTGAACCTCTTCTCAGAAATGAAGAGTAAGGGTATTGCCCCAGATGTCATGACCTATAACTCTTTGATTCATGGAGTTTGCAAATTACAGGATTGGAAAGAAGCTACAAGATTGTTGAATGAAATGGTGCGTAAACACATCTTTCCAAATGTGCACACATTCAGTGTCTTGGTTGATACATATAGTAAAGAGGGCATGGTCCAGGAAGCAAGGAGCTTGGTTGAAATGATGATTCAAAGAGATATCAAACCAGATACAATTACGTACAATTCTCTTATGGATGGTTATTGTTTGCTAGGAGAAATGGACGAGGCGAAAAAGGTTTTTGAAGTAATGCTTAGCATAGGCTGCATGGTTGGTGCTCATACTTATAACATATTGATAAACGGCTATGGTAAGAGTAAACGGATGGATGATGCCTGGATGCTTTTTCTAGAAATGTTTCATAGGGGAGTGGTTCCAGATACTATTACTTATAACACTCTTATGGATGGGTTTTGCAAGATGGGAAGGATACAAGATGCACAAAACTTGTTCTCTCAAATGCAAGCTCATGGCCAACTTCCAGATGTTCGAACTTATAATATTTTGTTGGATGGCCTTTGTAAAAGCCACCAACTTTCTATGGTGGTTGAATTGTTGGAAGAGATGGAAAGGAAGAAGTTGGATTTTGATGTTGTAACTTACAATATTCTTATTGAAGGATTGTGCAAAGCTGAAAAAGTAGAATATGCATGGGATCTCTTTCGTAGTTTATCATCAAAAGGAACTCAACCTAATGTCAAGACATATACTATAATGATCAGTGGATTTTGTAATGGGGGGCTAACATGTGAAGCAGAAAACTTGCTAAGGATAATGAAAGGGAAAGGCTGTTCTCCAGATGATTGCATGTACAACACAATTATCCGAGGGTTTATCAATAACAATGAGACATCAAGGGCGATGAGACTCATTCAAGAAATGGTGGATAGTGGTTTTTCTGCAGATGCATCAACTATGGAGTTGATCATTAATTCACCTGCTCTGTTGGCATTAATAGAAAAATCGTGATGAAAGTGATTTGCATCTTTGTTTTGAAAAGTTTCGGTGCATCCCTTCCTTGAATGCTGCATTGGAAGGAGTTGTTCCACTACCGAGTCCAGTTCAGGTAACCATTCATTCATGCATCGCCTAGTGATGTTTGATGTATTATTAATTTAATGTATCAATTGATAGAGCAACTTTTATGTCACTCTTCATTTAAGATTATGAAATCTGTTGGAGAAGCAGAATATCTGGACAGATATTATCATATTTATGGCTTGGTTTAACTTCTAAGGACATTATCCATAAATAATTTTTTAAGGAGATGAGTCTGATGGAAGGAGCAATGGAAGAAATGATAGCTACAGTATACAGACGATGATTAATTGGGTCTTTTAGACATCAGAAATCTTCAGCATTGTTGAGAACATTAGTATTCTGAAGCTTCATTTCAACTGCAAATCCATAGTTGTGCAGTCTGATACGATAGATTATATCATCTGTCACATACCTTGCCACACCATTATAATTTGTCTTTTGCTCGCTACTTGACCAGCCAAATTCAACGGAAGAAATTGAATTCGACTCATCTAAGTGCTGCACGGGATTTGCAGGAAACTTCATTTCAGACGTTACTCCCCGCAGAAGCTTGTTCTTGGATCCTGGCCTTGTTTCCTCAATCTTTCGGCATATCTCGCACCATCAGAATAGCAGTCATAATCTCTCTCAACCATAGATGCCCATCTTGAACAAACTATGGCCTGCAAGTTTGAAGGCATTCCTCTCATCCAGCAAGCTTCTTCCTCCCTTCAGCCTCAGCCTCACCATTGAGTCTGGTTTTTGGTTTCCTCATGTTCACATATGAATGGAAACTCTTTCGATCAAAAGGTTTTTCAGAGTTTAGATATTTTGGTTATTCTTTATGGTAAAGTGATAGTGATGATCATTCGAACTTGGGTCCAAAAAGTGTGAATACATTACGCATTATTCTTGTCAATTGATTTAAAGCCCATAAAAAATGAGCACATTAATTGCGGTCCATTGATCTGATTCATATAGAAAAGAGAGAGTATATAGTTGAATTGTTCCGACCAATTGATCTCGCCAACGTAGATGATCTACAATTTAATTTGAACAAGTAATCCAAAAAAATAAATGGAAGGAGAAAAATGAAAATAATCGCCCACCGTGGGGCTCGAACCCACGACCACAAGGTTAAGAGCCTTGCGCTCTACCAACTGAGCTAGACGGGCTGGTTGTGAGTTTGGGACCCACATGTTATAAGACTTCATTTGTTCCTCTACCAACTGATTTTTTATTTTTTTTAAATGACAAAGTCAACTTTCATTATAATAAAAACTAGTACAAGGCTCAAAAAAGGATTGGAAAAACAACTATATGGAAAGTAAAAGGCCCAAACAAAATGAGAACAACAATCCAAGAGACAACGGGAGGCCCACACAAGTTTTGGCCCAAAGGCAACAGAAAATAGACAATAAAAATCTCTGAACTCCAGTAGCCAAGACCGCATCGCCGCCATTGTCACATCCTTGGTGGAAGCCAAACTTTGACTGAGAAAGAAGACACCAAATCCAAGTCCCTTTCACGAACCCCTGCAAATATATACAAAGTATATTACGAGTAGAGAGTGAGGCTAAGGGGTATGTAAAATACCCAACACTTGGCCTCGATGGGCTGCTTGTGAGTTTTGGGACCCAAAGTAATAAGACTTATGCATTTATGGTGATGAACCACGCTTTAAATGGTGCGTTTTAAATCGTGTTTATGCAGCAATTCCACATCGATCGACTCTTAAGTCTATGAATGCTTTATATACTGTCCGTATACAGCGCAGCTTGTTCCTTCGGGGACATTCCATAAAATTGGAATAATACATAGAAGATTAGCATGGCTCCTGCGCAAGGATGACATGCATAAATCGAAAAGTAGTCCAAATTTCTTTTTTAATTCCTTTCCGTTTGCAGATCAATTTTTCTTTTGATTCCTTCATCTCCTCTGCTTCCAATGAAGTAAGACTATGCTCACAAATTTATTATACTCAGTCGGAACATTTTCCTACTTATAACGAAATAAATTGCCGTTAGTTGGAATCTAATTACAAGTTTTTAGATTTGTAGAGATGTAGAGTAACATATAAAATTAGCATGCATGCATATCCAGCATTCGAGTTTCCACTAATTGCAAATGTATCAATTTTTTTTTCTTTTTATTATTTTTATTTTATTTAATGCAACGATAGGTGATTTTCATTAAACAAAGGTTATTACGTATGGTAAACTAAGGCAGAGAATCCTCAAGGAGGAAATCTAAAATTATGGTCGGTGGACAGTCTAACCAAATACATTCATGGGGAACTGTAAGACCAAATCTAGCTAGACGATGGGCAACCGCGTTGGCTTGGCGGCGTGAATGGGAAGAGGAAGCTTCAGTGATCGTCGACAACAAAGCCTTGATATCCTCAATAATCTGCCCAACTGGGGAGAGATTAGTCGAGGTGACCCGCAATGCTTCAATGAGGTTTGCACGGGTTGGGACGTAGTCGTTGCAAAGCTGCCATACACACACTTTGACCTTCGGGGGAACTCGAGATTTCCACAATTTGTTCCAGAGTTTGGCAGTGGGAGTCAAAGAAACCAATGATGAGTCGGGGCTGGAGAAGAATTTCTCTTGCCACATAATAAGCACTTCGAACCGAGAATAAGCCATTCTTCTCATGATGCCAACCAAGTGTGTCCAGTGGGGCTCGGATGCTAATCGGGATGGACCGAATGAGATTGGTTTCCTCCGTAGAGAATACGGAGATAATGTTAAAACTGTCCCACATCGGTGGGTGCAAGAAAACCAAAGGGGTTTAAATAGTATTACCTCACTTTAACTAATACCGAAAGCTCTTGTAGTAAAACTCTACACTTAAGGATTGTGCAGGTGATTAAGTTGGACAATATCGATGTCGTTAGAGTGAGACGGACTCGGCGATCCAAAAATTCCAACAGATAAGGCCCTCTTTCCTCCAGCACTTTAGAACCAGATCAATCAAATCAGAGACTATATGATACCACCATATCCAAGCTTCCTTTATCAAACTCTACTATGAACAAATCTTCGCCGCCAGTAAAACTTCCGACTGGTGAAAGGGTTTCAATTAGTAGTATTGGTAATTTCACTTTGATCCCAAACTTTCATTGACTGACGTATTACGAATTGCCTCTTTTTTGGTTAATTTGATATCCGTTAGTCGTTTAACAAAATCCCTTCGATGCCCCATAACATTTTTTTCCAGATTTTTGTGTCTCATAGGACCTGGGGACGAGAAAGATGATCGGGTGGGCTAGACAACGTGGAGGTCTTTACGATTTCACCAAACCAAACAGTAGCTTGCACCACTTCACCTTCACCTAGTTTACCAAGGAATTTCAAAACAACAGAAATTGAAATGATAAAATTTTATTTCCTAAAATTTGTGAATTCTTTTGTTTGGTTACCTAAAAAAACAATGGAATTTGAATACGGAATTTGTTATTTTTAAACAATAGGATTATTAGAATTCCAATTATATGCATTTTTATGCCATATCTTTTGCTGTGTTCAAATCTTCTACACTCATAAACTTAATACATGTCAGTCAATAATAAATATTACAAAGAGGCCACACACAATAAGTGCAATTAATTTGACGCTTTTATAAATTATAACAAAACGAAAACGCACATCCATCACAGAAACGAGAGAGAAATGAGAGAGGTGATATTATTAGTTTCGTCAGCTGAAGTTTCTCAAATATCACATTCAAAACCTGCTTGCTGCAACACCTAAATTTTTCTCCCGATATCTTTTCGAGGGGTTTAAGATTCGAATTTGAGATTAACTTATGATTTTTAATCTCCCTGTTCTCTTCTATGTGACAACTATATCTTTTCTACCACTCAAATAGTAGACAGACAGATTAGCATACACTATTGTATTCCTCATAGTTCATCCTTCGAATCGTCTGAGCTGCTGCTGCTCCCTTGGCTTTCTGTTGCAGCAGACCCCTCAGATTTTGGCGTTGATGCTGGCTTCTGGAGCTTGAAAGGGATTGATGCGTTTTTCTTGAGAAACTTGTAGAATGCCACCACTGTACGGTCACAGTCTACGGGAATCTGGTTTATCAAGGAACCAGATATTCTACGTCAGACGCAAACAAGGATGAACAAGAAGATATATGCAGAAGCACGTTAGAGAAGAATGCATTTAACAATTTTACATGCCACTTACTGGATCAAAGCTCTTATTTCCCGCTGGGAAGAATAGAAGCGTGGGGAAACCATCAGCCTGCAAAAATTAAAAGAACAGCAATTAACCGCAAAGTTCTTGTTTCTAATAGACATTCAGACTTTACCCCAAGACGTGGATATTGACTTTAGACATTAAAACCATAAACCTAATGCCTTTTCTTCCAATGAAAATTTGTCCCCAGAAATCTCGAATAGGCAATTGATATACAAACTATCATTTAACCCACAGCAACTTGACATTACCTTTCCCCTGGGATGCTCATTTGTGGTTCCATCCATCTTGGCTATAACAATAGAGTCAATGCCTCGTAAATGTTTGGCAAGCTTGTTGTAGGTTGGCTCCAGAGATTGGCAATGCCCGCACCAGGGTGCATAAATCTGAGATGATAATCCTTTAAAACATGAGAACTTTGACAAATTTAATCAAATATTTGTTTGTTTCTTATTTTGCAGTTTTACCTCAAGAAGAACATCCTTTGACTCGTCCAAGACAATGTCATCAAAGTTATTCCCAACCACTATCTTCACATCCCCGTCGTTCTGTGCCAATCAAATAAAACGTATAAATTTGAATAGTGGACCAACACAACAGAATCAGGTGGATGAACAAAACTTAAACACTTACAGTTTCAGGAATTGGATCTGACTTATAGAAAGGTTTAAGTTTGTCCTCAATAAAGTCCTCCCCAAAAGTCTAATAAAACATAAATTCACAAGATACAGTTAGAATGTAATGGAGTGGACGCACATACAGAGAGAGAGAGAGAGAGAGAGAGAGAGAGAGAGAGAGAGAGAGAGAGAGAGAGAGAGAGAGAGAGAGAGAGAGAGAGAGAGAGAGAGAGAGATGCAACCTTTAAATTAGCCAAGGTCACCTCTCCGTCAAGAACAAATTTCCTACCATCATCATTTCCGGTATACCCAAGAACCTGTTAGGAACAAAATTATCAACTTCATAGCACAAATAAATACTGGAATATGTAGAATTACAACCGGACAACTATGTTTCCAAAAATAATTTTATTAAATACAAAGGTTTGGAAAAGCTCACCGTTGGAGCTTCACTAGTAACACCAAAATAATCTGAAACTGGCTTTCCGATATCTTCATTATCCGTTTCCACATATACAAAGATAAGCTGCAAGCAACTCCACACACATTATACAAACATACGCTGCAAGCTTTGTCCGTTTTCAACAAAATAAGACTGCAATGAGTAGCTTAGCGGCCAAAAAGGATCAGATGCTCAGATTATGCAGGTCATACGTAGTGGCCACAGAGAACAAATGAAGCACCACATTAGAAGTTAATACAAAATGACCAACCTACTTAAAGGAAAAGGTATTTGTTTACTCTGTATCTTTCTGTTGAAACAATATTTTGTTAATACGAAGAGATGAGCACAAACCAAACCACACAATTTAGCAGAGCACAAACTGAAAATCCTAATAATGCCGAGAAAAAGAGTTCCTGGAAATTTTTCAGAAACCAAAGCCCACAAGGAATACCAAATTAAAACTTTACTCGACAAAACATCCTCCCCCTGTCCCCTAATGCACTAAAAAAATCCCTTATGTCTATCTAACTACACCACCCCAAACACAGCCATGACACCACCTCTCCGTAGGACTAACCTTCCCTCACCCTCAAAGCTTGTGATTTCAATAAGCAATAAAAAGAACACAATGCTGGAACTACAACCACTGTCAGCTTCTCCTTTACACGTGACGCACTAAGAACAAGGTATTTCAAGCCTACACTGTTTAAAAACCTTTATGTAATTGTTATTTTAGATGCTCTAGAACAGTTTCTATGACAGCAACCCAACTCATAGAACATAGCTAATAGTAACCATACCTTTCCTTTGAAAAGTTGTGCAGCCTTTTGAAATTCAGGGAAAACCTTCTCTGAATCTTTTGAAGTGGCAAAGAGCAACAGCTGGGTATAGAAAGATTATATGTCAATCAGCATGAAATGTTTAATACTCTGTTGTAAAGCGTTTCTGATTGAGGTCACATCTGCTAAAGAAAAAATCAAAACATGTAACAAATTACCTGTTTCTTGATTGTACTTTCAAAAATTTGTGGGGCATTCTCCCTAGTAAAAGTGATAACCAAAGGAAGCTTGTTGGCAAAGACAAACTCGGCGATTGCAGACTTATCAAATTTACCATCTGCAGAAATGAGAAACTGAGCATAAAGAAATTCAACCCAAAAACTCTATCTGAGACATCAATGTGATAACAATATAGAAACTAACCGAAATAACTTAGTTTCTCAGCCTCCTTCTTTAGCAGGACCAAAGCAGGGCGCTTAACTTCAGCATCAAGATGGAAAAGTTTTGCCACCTTGGGATCTACAGTTTGGTAAAAGGTGACCTCATCTTCAAGTCTTGAAGCAGCAGCAAGCTCGTCACTCTCAGGACCCTTTGAACATAAGAACAACACAAAATTACAACAAGTATCAATATCATGGGATATGGAAAACAAATTACAATAGCTAACAAGAGTAAATAAGGAGAACTTCTAGCCACCATTATTTTCCTTTTCCGTTTCGATAATTCATTTTACATATATCAATTTTATTACATAAAGCAAAAAATAGTGTTTTGCATGCCTCATCAATCACCTATTTTTGAATTCCTATTCTATATTCTGTGTAATTAAACAG